TATGTAGATAGGTTGACATGTCTGGGAGATAACGCCTTGCTGATGAAAGCGATTGGGTGTCCCCGCTGCATCAAAACTGCTCCTATTCCATGATTAGAAGCATCGGTTTCTATGACAAATGGCTCGCTGAAATTAGGCAGTGCCAAAACAGGAGGTTCAGTCATCACTTGCTTCAATTTTAAGAATGCCTTGTCTGCCTCGCTATCCCAACCAAAWGAATCTTTTTGTAACAGTCTCGTCAAGGGTTTTGCAATCTCTCCGTACCCTTTGACAAACCTCCGATAGTAACCAGTGAGTTCCAGAAACCCTCTTAGCTGCTTGACATTGACCGGCACCGGCCAATTAACGATAGTTGTGATCTTAGTCGGATCAGTTGCCACTCCTTGACTTGAGAGAATATGACCCAAATATTCGATCTGCGGCACCCCAAAAACACACTTGCTGCGTTTAGCTAGTAATGAATTTTGCCTCATAGTGTCCAACACCACCTTTAAATGATGCAAATGGGTCGTCCAACTTGGGCTGTAAACCAAGATSTCGTCGAAGAACACAAGTACAAACTTCCTTAAATAAGGTTGAAATACCCGATTCATTAAACTTTGGAAGGTAGAGGGAGCATTGGTTAACCCAAAGGGCATAACCAAAAATTCAAAGTGTCCACAATGTGTTTTAAATGCTGTTTTGTGAACATCTTGGGTGGCAACTCTGATTTGGTGATATCCAGCACGCAGATCAATTTTAGAAAACCATTGGGTACCATGTAGTTCATCCATAAGTTCCTCAATCAATGGAATAGRAAACCTGTCGGGAATAGTCATCTTGTTTAAAGCTCTGTAATCCACACACATCCTCCAGCTTCCATCCTTCTTTTTAACCAGCACAAYAGGAGCCGCAAACGGGCTGTTACTGGATCTGACCACTCCTTGATCCACCAGTTCCTGAGTCAATTGTTCAATRACGTCTTTTTGCAACATAGAGTAACGGTAGGGTCTGATGTTTACCGGATTTGAACCATCTTTTAAGGGAATAACATGATCAAATCCTTCTCGGAAAGGTGGTAACCCTGAGGGTTCCCGGAACAGGTCATAATACCCTTGCAACAACTTCACTAATTCAGGATGAGGAGAATCATTAGAGCTGCTGGTCTTAATTTGGAAATCGAGCAGATCCCCCTGAGTTGCCAGAAGTTGCATCATGGACAGCTGTCCACTTTGATGTAATACCTTGTTCATTGTTTGGTTACTTACGGTTTTCACTTTTTTTCCCGTTGCTCCCCTTAGAGTCACCTTAGTTCCCTTGACAGAAAACTCAATAGTATGGTTTACAAAATCAAAATTAACCTTCCCCAACGATGTAAACCAYTGGACGCCCAAAACAACGTCGCACCCTCCCAACGGTAATAAGTAAAGATCAGCTGTGAAGGATATCGATTGCATCTTCCATTGAAAACCTTCAATCATGGTGTCGCATACAACCCTTCCCCCATCAGCAACTCTAACCAGCATGGACGGCTTAGAGACCAACTTACACCCCAATTTCTTTGCAACCGCAACATCCATAAAATTATGTGTGCTGCCCGTATCTAACAGCATCTGCAAAGCTTTTTTTCCATAGTGTCCCGTTACCCTCATTGTCTGGTAATCTGTGATACCCGCCATAGCATTAACCGAAATTTGCGAAAACTCGTTATCGACTTCATGTTCATCATTAACATCCTCATCCAATTCCTCCCATTCCATGTGGTACAATTGGGGTCGTTTGCCCTTGCATCGATGACCATACTCATACTTCTCATCGCAAAAAAAACAAAGGCCCTTTGATCTCCTCTCTTCAAACTCAGCCGGTGACAAGGTTCTACGATTATGATTTGGTTTGAAGGGAGCTGCCATGGGTTTAGGAGACATATTAACGGGTTTAAGAGGTATATTGATGTTTTTCAGAGGTACGGGTAAAATACCAGGTTTAGTTGAAATCAGGGAAGAAGTGTTGTTGAATCTGGAAGTTGGCTTGTTGCTAGTTTTACTCAAATTGAGTTCCTGGATCTTGGCTAATGAATATGCTTGTGCAATAGTAAAAGGATTAAACATCCTTACTAAATTCCGCAGTTCGTCCTTCAGCCCAGTAATGAAACAACTTAAGGTATATTCAGGGGAGAGTTGTAACCTGCTGATGATACTATCAAACTCATCATGGTAGTCCTTAACAGATGTAGTTTGCTTCAATTCCATGAGTTCCGCCATCGGATCATCGAATGTTTCCCCAAATCTCCCTGTGATATCAGTGACGTATTGATCCCATGAAGGATTGATATGGTTGCGACCCTTCATGTACCCTTGATGCCATTGTAATGCTCTACCTTCCAAATGAATTGATGCTAGAGGAACCCTTGTACCATCACTTACTTGATCCAACTGAAAAAATTGATTCACCTTATATAGCCATGACTTCAATTCTTCCCCTCCGAAGCGTGGAAATTCGATTTTCGTCAACCGTGATGAGTATTGATGTGGGCTGCCAATCATTTCCCCCAATTTTACTTGAGGACTTGAAGACACTGATTTCAACTCCGTCTGTTGCACAGGTGGTTTACTGCCATTAACCATCAAACTATCAGAATCACCCTTCTTCAACCGGTCCACCACGAGTTGATTGATCTGTAGGGACAAACCCGAAAGGAGATCACTGATTTCTGAAATTGCTCGAGTATTCTCCGCCACCCGCATAATCTGTTGCTGATTATTATTTTCGATTCGAGCACCATAATCCTCTATAAATGTTTTGATCATCGTTTCCAATTCAGCAGCACTTCCACGTCCTTGCGATGATGGGGGTGGATCAATATTTGATGACGCTTCGGCGGAATTGATCGTCCCCTGTCCTTGATTCGCAGCTTTACCCATACTTCGTGTGATCGCAATAGTTGGATTCTTTCAGAACCGACTGCTCTGATACCAATGATACACCTAAAAACTCAATCAAGGTTGGTCCTCCAACGGTTGATTGCAACTCCAAATCAGGTGGGTCAGGAAATGAATGATCCACGAGAATTTAGAGCAAGGAGAGATATTGAGATTACAGAGAACATAAAAGATGAGGAAGAAGGTAAATCTATTTCATATCTTCCAACTCGTACAATACTGAATATAAGGGAAAGATAATAACAAAAATAACAACCCACTACAAAAGATGCTTACAGCTGTCCGTATCTAGGTAAGATGCTGACATCTGTCAGCCCACCAAATCTATTTATTTAAGACATAATTACCCCCTGAATTTCGAATCATAACATTTTTCATCGCTGTTTTTTATACCCATTTTTGCAAATCTTACATCCCGTTTGGTTTGTAGGAATGGAATGAAGTTGGATTTTAAATTCATTCCAATCCCATGTTTGGTTTCTTGGATTGTCAGGATTTGAAATCCAAGAATTTAATTGAAATCTTTCAAACAATCCTTAGGAGGTGTTGGGGATTTCTAAGAATTGTATGAACTATGGTTTTAAAAAATGTTAAAAACATTTGTTTTGTGATAATCGATTAATAAAAATGTAATTTAATTATTTTTATAAATAATGAAATCCAATTCCATTCCAAATTTTACAAATCAAACATACCATTCCAAATAGTTGTGTTGTGGCTATTGATCATGTAATGGCTACGATGGTGGTTGTCTTGTGTATGGGTGTGGTTTAGGTCCAAACGTACCATACAATAAAAAGTTTCAATTCGTATGAAATATGTAAATTAAAAATAATATAATATAAATTAAGGAGTTCAGTAATTACATTAAAAATGTTAACTTCAAAATAAATTCATCATGATACTTGATAAAAGAATAAAAGAAAATAATTCAAATAACGAATTTATAATGTAAAACTTAAAAAAAAAATTGAAAAATTAACAAGTGATCAATAATGTATAAACTATTTTTCATTTGATAAATGATTATGTAATAATATGTATACATAATTTATATTTAACAATATATACAAAATACGCTACTGTGGTTTGAACTGAAGTTTGAAGACTCAAAACCGCAAATTATACCGTAAATTGTAGTTTGATTAAAATGCAAACCTCAAAGGGCCATTTAATAGAAATGCAAACCTCAAAGTGCGATTTGATAAAAAATGCAAATTACAGATCACATCAAAAAAGTTATATAAGCTGTATGTTTGGTATGGAAGGTTTTGATGAACACCCCTAATTTGTGTATGCATGAGAGAGAGGGGTGCAAATTTCTAGTCATGGCGGCAGTGAGATTTAGAGGATGTTTACCTAAACACTTACTCGGTAAGCGCTTAACGATAAAATTCAATGTTATTGCGTACTTATCAGGTAAGATTTTAATCTATTGTCAAAGACCTTCCAGCCTAGTGGTAAAAGCTTGGGCATGACATAGTCATGAACCCGAGTTCAAGCCCTGGGAGGGGAGTGTTGGCGACATTTAAGTGGGGCCATGTTTAGCCTCCAAATTTGTCGGGGATTAGTCGGGCTTTGGCCCGGACACCCTTACAAAAAAAAAAAAAAAAAAAAGATTTTAATCTACAAAACGCCATCGTATGTAACAACTTACCCGGTAAGCGCTAACGGTGATAAGAGTTGTCACCATCACTTACCGGGTAAGACTCTCGGTTCTTACCTTCGCTCTTACCAGGTAAGATTCTTGGTTCTTGTCATATTCATCCGGTAAGGTAATGTGACTTGGTAAACACTTACCCAAGTAAACACTTGGTAAACAGTCCCTTAGTGATGAAAGAGTTACAATTGCGATCGATAGTGTAGGGAGGAGGAGATAAGGGAGGAGAGGCTTCAAGTAGTTAAGGCTGTACATGAGTTGGCTTGGTGGGGTTAAAAACATTTGAACAATCCAACCTAATGTTTGCTGATTGAAAAATCTAAATCCAACCCAAATAAATGTACAACCAACCCAATCCAAACCAAATCATATAAATTGGGTTGGGTTTGGTTGGTCGATTTAAAACTTTGGTACATCATTTTTACAATCTAGCTAAGTTATTGTGTTTAAACAAAGTAAAATCAAAACGAGAATATACAAATAAAGTAAAACTTACAAAAAGTTGAAGGTTCATGCAAATAAGAAAGTAAAATTACGACGAAATTGTGATAGAATTATGAATAGAGTTAATTACGAGTTGGTCTAAAATCTAATATACATATATTAATTAGAGACTTAACAATCAATATTCAAATCTACTATAAAAGACATCAGGTTCATTAGGTTGGATTTGGTTCCAATGACCCTAATCCAATTCTAACCCAATACATAAGTTTAAAGATTTTACGGCTCGATCAAGTTACATTAGGTTGGATTATTTCATGTTGGTTAGATTTAGTCAGGTTTTTGTACGTGTCATGTTGTGGTGGCTGAGAGGGAGGCCAACTGCTTTATATTGATATGATCTACATATAATGTTCTTTTGAATAGTCAACATTGTGACTTAAAATGATGTCAATCTATATGTATTAAAGGTATATCATATGTTTTTGACGGTGAAACTGATTAACGATGCTAAGTAAAAATAATATTAATTTAGAATTAATTATTGATTGATTTCATGTCTACAAATACTCAGGAAAAACGATTTTATATGAATTATTAGTATTTAATGAATTCAATGTTATTTCTATGATAAAAACATTACATTAAAAAAAAATCATCCATATCAAGAACCCTTTTTTACATCTCACCCAGAGCCTATAAAATATAAAAAACGAACGAAATTGCTCAAAGCCGATGATGCCAATAATGAACCGTAAAATGTTTATCGATGATTATTAGGAGTTTTGAACAATTTTAACTGTTAGGGGCCGTTTTCCAAACACTTACCCAAGTAAGCACTTCCAAATCTCATTACCTTAACAGATGAATATGACAAAGATCAAGAATCTCATCAGGGAAGAGCGAAGACAAGGACCGAGAGTCTTACCCAGTAAGTGAGGACGATGACTCTTACCACGGTTAGCGCTTACTGGGTAAATTGTTGCATACGATAAAGTCTTGGTGGACCAAAATCTTATCCGGTAAGTAAATGATAATGTTAAATTTTACGAGTAAGCACATAACCCAGTAACTAACTATTTGACAAATTACAATGACTCAAACAATCGATAAAAATCTTTGATGGTCCTCAAAGACTCAAAACGGTGACTTATAGGTAAACCGAAACCAGGGGCGGACCTGTAGTGTCGCCATGGGTGGCACGTGCCACCGTATTATTTTGCCTCTGAAGGGTAAATTTTTTAGGTTTATTAACGGTGCTACCGTATACTTTCGGAAAGTACTACCGTATTTTTCCTAAAATTCTAAGAGTGCAACTAAAGCCCAAATAAACTGCAAAAATAAGCCCAAATAAAATCTAATGGTCCATTAACTAAAGCCCTAAATCTAATGGTCCATTAACTAAAGCCCCAACCCCAAATCTAATAGTCCATTAACTAAAGCCCTAAATCTAATGGTCCATTAAGGCATTAACTAATGCCCCAAATCTGTGACCTTGTTACAGACTTATAGCGACCGTGCGTGAGCCGAGAGCGAGTGTCGAGTGAGCGAGTGAGAGCTTGAGGCGTGAGAGAGCGACATTGTGTGCGACAAGCCGACAGCTACAACCACAACCAGGCGGGGGACCACTGACCGGACCAGGGACCACGAGAAAAGAGAATCGATTCGATTTTGAAATTGGAACTCAACTCGCTCGCCATCGGTACTGACTCAGACTCAAATCTCAATCACTTATTTGATTGATCATTCTTTTCTGTTTACTTTTTAGTTGATTATTTACTATTTCACTTGATTAATTGTTTAGGTTATACAAATGTTACTTGATTAATTGTTTAGGTTATACAAATTGATCATTCTTTTTTGTTTACTGTTTAGTTGATTATTTACTATTTTACTTGATTAATTGTTTAGGTTATACAAATTGATCATTCTTTTTTGTTTGCTGTTTAGTTAATTATTTACTATTTTACTTGATTAATTGTTTATGTTATACAAATATTTTGTTTACTATGTTTAGGTTTCATATGTTGATTAGATTTACTTATTTACATTACTCATTACTGATTAGTGATTACTTATTATTGTTTTCATTACTTAGATTTACATAACTCATTCATTATGGAAAAATATTTGAAATGAAAAGCTTCATCATCAACCGGTAATGAAGCATCCAACAATGTGATTGATGTTAACGATCTTCCTTGGGATCCATCCGAAAGACCCAAAATTATGACTTATAACCCAAATCAAAGAGACGAAATTAGACGGAAATACTTGGTAAGGGGTCTTTGTCAACCACGAGGTCACATCTTTCCAACCAAAGTTATAGGGACTAAAGGAAGACGGTTTGTTGTTTCTTGGTTTGATCAATTTCAGTGGTTGGAATACAGTGTAAAAGTAGATAGAGAATATTGTTTGCCTTGTTACTTGTTCAGAGATCAAGGTGGGAATCATGGGATAGATGCATTTGTGGCGGAATGATTTAATAGTTGGAGTAAAAAAGATAGACTTACGCTTCATGAGGGTGAGGTTAATAATTTTCACCATAAAGCACTTAAAAAATGTGAAGATTTGGTTAACCAAAACCAATCAATTGCTGTTGCCCTTCGTAAACAAACAGAACTCATGAAGACCGAGTACCACATGCAATTGAATGCTTCCGTTGAAGTTTGTAGATATTTGTTGGAGAATGCTTTACCATTTCGTGGCAACGATGAGTCGGAAAAGTCTATGTACAAAGGGCTTTTCTTGGGGACATTAAAGTTAATCGGAAGAACAAATGGGGAGATTGAAAAGGTTATATTACAAAATGCACCGAAGAACAATCAATTGACATCTCCAAAGATTCAAAACTATCTTGTTACTTGCTTTGGAGAAGAGGTGTTGAAAGGCGTTATTGGGGAAATTGGTGATGATGTATTTGCTTTGTTGGTGAATGAGTCTAGTGATGTCTCTAGAAAAGAACAAATGGCCGTGGTTTTGAGGTTTGTTGATAAAGTCGGCATTGTTCAAGAAAGATTTGTCGGCATTGTTCATGTCATGGATACATCTGCTATAAGTCTTAAATCTGCATTGGATGCTTTATTTGCAAAACATGGATTGAGTTTCACAAAGGTAAAAAGGTTTTTTAATAATTTATTTGTTTTAAGTCTTAATTATATCATTGAATATTTGGCTAAATAGCTTAATTTATCTTTAAAATAGGTAAGAGGACAAGGTTATGATGGTGCTAGCAACATGAGTGGTAAGTTCAGTGGGTTGAAAGCTTTGATCTTGAGTGATAATGACTCGACATTTTTATATACATTGTTTTGCCTATCAACTTCAGTTAGTGGTTGTGGCGGTTGCAAAAAAACACGAAGGTATTAAGGACTTCTTTTATTTGATTGCGTTGGTTGTTACTGTTGTAAACTCTTCTTGCAAACGAAAAGATATGATACGAGAAAGTCACAAAGAGAGAATTCAAGAAGAAATTGGAAATAATGAAATTGAGACTGGTAAGGGGTTAAACCAAGAGATTTCCCTTGTCCGAGCTGGAGATACACGATGGAATTCTCATCTTAAAACAATCGTGAGTTTGATTGCTTTGTTTCCAGAGGTTATACAGGTGCTTAAATATGTTGAAGATGATGGTGATAATGGAGCTAGTCGGCTTCAAGCAAGAGGTCTTTTATCATACTTAAAGACATTTGAATTTGTGTTTTATATGCACTTGATATCAACGATCTTAGGATTAACAAATTCATTGTCTCAAGCTCTTCAAAGGAAAGATGAAGACATCTTGGAAGCTATTGATTTGATAGGTACAACCAAAGGTCAATTACAAATGTTGAGGGAAAATGGGTTTGATCAAGTTTTGGAGAAATGCTACTCTTTTTGTGATAAACATAAGATCGTGAAGTTAGATATGGCTGAAGCTTATGTTAATACAAGAAATTCAAGGAAAATGATGAACATTACCAATCAACATTATTATAACTATGATATATTCAACACTGTTTTGGATATGCAGATCCGAAAGTTTGGTGATCGTTTTGGTGAGATAAGCACCGACTTGCTTCAAAATATGGCAACTTTGAATCCACGCAATTCGTTTTCTCAGTTTAACAAATCAAGCATATTGAAATTGAGTCAGATGTATCCTCGAGATTTTGATGACAAGGAAAGGATCATTCTTGAGCACGAACTTGATGTCTACTATCATTCTATTTATAATGATGTCAGATTTGCAAACTTAAACGGTATTGCCGACCTCACCAGATTAATGATGGCAACAAGAAAGCATCTTTATCATCCTTTAGTCTATCGGTACTAACACTGGTTTTGCCTGTTGCAACTGCTACGGTTGAAAGATGTTTTTTGGCGATAAAGCTTGTCAAGACAAATTTACGTAATCGAATTGGTGATGATTTTTTGAATTCTGCTCTCATTTGCGCCATAGAAAATGAAGCCCTTTGTAATGTCAAAAACGAAGATGTCATCGATCGTCTCCAAAAGATGAAGACACGCCGAGGACAAATTTAGGAGTTGTTTCTCAACATACTTTTTGTAATTATTTTTGGGTATATATTGACCATTTTCAAAAGATGAAGACGAGTCGGGTAAAAGTTTAGGAGTTGTTTATCGGTACAATAAAAACCATATTTTTTGTAATTATTTTTAGATATATATTATATTATATTAATTATATGGTGCCACCGTATGAAAAATTTTCTGGGTCCGTCCCTGACCGAAACAAACCAAATGAGCACAATATTCTCACGTAGGGTCTGGGAGGTAAAACGTACGCAAACGTGACCTTTACCCTAAAGAGTAGAGTAGAGTAGAGTGATTGTTTATGTAAATAGCCCCGCTAGTAAAAAGTGCATGAAATACATGCTCGTTTTATATTCTAAAACTATAATTTCAACAAGTAACGCGATATACCTCATACAAGCAGTCATTCTCCCAACTTATCGGTGTCGCGGACAATAATCTTTGAAGGAAGCACAATTGCAGCCACCGGATTTTGTTCAAGCCCACCGCCTTCATCGATAATCAGTCTAAGCCCGTCCACATGAAGCTTTCCATGGTGACCACTTACCACGATCGTCGGGCTTTTGCTCAGTTCCTACCAACAAAATACAGTGTAACTCCTTCCCACATGAATAGAAAATTAGATTTGTAAGCTCCTAATAAGCTCAAATACCAATAACCACCATGGTTGTATCATTGAAGATTATTGGGCCATCTTGCTAGGGGTGACAATGGGTCAGGTTGGGTTGAGTTCGGGTTCAACCAATTTATTAAACAGGTTGAAAATCTCAACCCAACCCATTACCTAAATGGGTTGAGATTTTTCAACCCAACTCAACCTGTTACCTAAATGAGTTGACAACGGGTTGACCTGTTTACGATTTTTTTAACCCAACCTGTTAAATAAATGGGTTGAACCTAAAATTGACCCATTTAATTTTAAAACTTTAAATAAAAAAAAGACTAGACTATTTAATTTTTTTGAATAAAAGCCAACCACAAATACAAACAAATTGTTCAAAGTTTGAATAAAACACCATCACAACAAATATATTGTTCAAAATAAGTTGGATTGGACTTTGAAGGCGATACTGGACTAAAGGGTTTTCTTAGGGTTTCATGATGATTAAGAGTAATGGAGGCTATTGAAATTTGGAGTTTCATCTCACGACGGTAGGATTTTTAATTAAGAATAAAACAAAATTAAAAATTAGAATACTAGATATAATATTAAGAATAAAATAAAATTATATAATATTTTAAATGGGTTGAAAACAGGTCGAAAAATTTAACCTAACCCAACCCATTTATTTAAATGGGTTAGGCGAGTTGACCCATTTATTTAAATGGGTTGAAAATCTCAACCCATTGGCTAATTTTGGGTTGGGTTCGGGTTGGATTAGCGGGTTGGGTCAGTTTTTGCCACCCCTACAGCTTGCTACTTTGGGCTTGGAGCTTTACAATTTATTGGGTTTTCTCAACAAGTAAACTAAACCAAACGAACCCCAATAAAGTAGGGGCGGGGAGCGTATGATGTAGGCAGACCTTGCCTCCACCCTAAAGACTAGAGACTGTTTCTCTGAAGACTCTCCGGCTTGTAAAAAGGTTTTGTGAAACGAAATTGTAAGAGATGGAGTGAGAGATCACCTCGGGGATGTCCCATACGCTCTTTCTACCGCTAAGAGGCTCCACCTTTGGGATCCTGGTGTCCTTTGCCTTCAGATATTTAATCTGCTCTTCGACATCTTTCCCTCTCTCCAAACCACCATGAACCGCAATCAACTTACACGATACAAGTCCTGTGTCTGTTTCTATGCACACATTATCCTAAATAAAATTATTATGAGCTAAAATGCAAGCACACCAAGAAGAACAAAATTATATTCCTGATAAGAGAAAATCAAAATCTAACCTCTTCATGGATCCACACCAAATCAGCAAGAAACTTCTTGTGTTCATCAGGAACTGCTTTCATCAAATCTGTACAAACCAATCTAGAATTGATCACAAACTTTGCATACTTGCAACATATTAAACACATTTTGACTTTTGGATGTGAATATGTGAGATTCTAATCTTCAAAACTGATAAGCATTCATCCAATCTTGATGCATACAACAACTATCATCCTGAATCAGCAAAGGGTCGCTATCGAATAAGACAATGTGCCACAAGTAAGATGAAATTATTCAGACCCAATTTGGCAACAAGATGGCATTTTAGTTTGAAACAGATCAATTAAGCAACAGAAACTGGATCAGAATAATCTGAACATACAATCCAGTGAAAGGATTGTTTCCCTAACAAGTGGGAGTTCTCAATTTCAAATCTTTGCACCAAATCAGATGAATCCCCCAAATGAGACTTTTATTCCAGAAGAATGGAAGTTGAGTAATACAAGAAAATGAGCCCCAACTTCAAATCCAAAGCTACAGTACTTCAATAACTCCTATACGAAAGAACCCATTAATGGAAAAGGTGAAGGATTTCATGATACATACCAGGAGAGCCATGAGGAACCCCATAAGATTCAAAAGTGGTGCCAGCATCATAAATGGAACCCTTGTACTCTGTACCTTTAGCAGCATTAAACTTGACAGTTATCTTCCCAGCCCACCTCCTCCCTTGCAAATGCATGTTCTCATACCCATCGTCTTTGTACCACCCTTCTCTCTCCTCGCTCGGCTTAAACTCATCCCACGTAGCAGAAAACGCCGATCCATCTGGCGGCGGAGGGATGGATCCTACAAACGCCGCAAAGGCGAAGTCATGGTTTCCGGCGAGGAAGACATGGGATTGGTTTGGGTATTTTGAGGGGAGTTCGATTAGGAAATCTAATACTTTGCGAGTATCAGGGCCGCGATCACAGTAATCGCCGAGGAAGATGATGCGGGCAGACTGGAAATCAGAGGGTGGAATTAGGGTTTGAAGGTTGGACCAGAGGTTTTGGAGCTTGGTTATGTATCCATGGATGTCCCCAATGCAAATCAGAACCCTTTCCTTGGTGTTTGATGATGCCATTGACATGGTTGAAAATGGATGGTGGCGTCAAGCATAAGCGAAGGTATGTGTTATGGCTTATTAACCATACAATTTATTTCTACTGAACCATAGCATAAATAGAAAAATGGTAAATTATGAATTTGGTCCCTTTGGTTTTAAATTTCTCTTGGATTTGGTCCTTCAAAAATTGTTTATTCCAGAATAGGCTCTAGAATTTGCATTTTTGTAACAATTTGATCTTTGCCACTAACAGATGTTAACTCCTGTCAGTTAAGTGATGGGTATTTTGGTCCATTACCATATTTTCCCTTATTTTCTCGCTTAAAAGAATTATATATATATATATATATATATATATATATATTAACTCCCATACCCTGTCTCTCTTCCTTCCCCAAACCATCGTCATCTATATCATCTTCTTCGACCAAACTTTTCTCCGGTCACCACACACCACAACGAAAAAACCCAAAATCAAAACCACCTGCTAGTCCAAACATATGATAGAAAACATACATCAAGACCCTAATTCAAATCTTAAAATAAAAAAATAAGCATTCGAGCCCAAACATTTAGGTAAACCAGTCGAAGAAGAAAAAGCAAGAAGTTTGCTGAGGTTGTGGTATGGTGCTTACCCACTGATCTGTGATGTGGGTTTTGGAACATACACAAAGATACCTGTTTGGATAGAAGAAGAGGAGGGAGAGGGTTAGTTTCAAGGTTTATTGAGTGGTTTGGAATCTACATCCCCATTGATTTCGACAAACTTGAGTTTCTGAGGAAGTACAGACTATGGCGAAAGATGGAGGCCAGGGGTCAAGAGAATCCCCTATCAATATCGCATTTTACTTTGATGTTTCATTTTATCAACTTATTTGTACTTCATAACTTTAGACATTATAAAGTTGTGATTTGTAATACAAAAATACAAAAATAAAGGATGCAATAAGACAATGTTTGAAAAATAAAAGGGTTTTTTTTTGTGTATAATAATATTTTTGTATTATTCAGTTAATATGATTGTACAATCTTATATTTTACATCAAAAAATCTCAATTTATTTTTATTTAAAAAGTAAAAACATTATCTTTCTCAAAATCACATAAACTGTATCAGATCAACATAGACGAAAAATAAAACGAAACATTAAAATGAAGATGTATCTTGCGGCATTGCGCGAGCACCCTTCTAGTGTTTACAAAACCATTTACAAACTATCATATTTTTGCAAAAGGTTTTGAATGTTACTTTATTTTTGCAAAAAACCCTTAAACAAGCTCAATAGGCCGGTTATTTTTGTACTGAAAACAGAACAAAATGAAACAAAAAAACAACAATTATGTCACGCCCCGATTTTTTTTTCTTTCGAATGCCGTGACGTCATTCTTAATAACTTATGTCATGAACAAAAATACGAACTTAAAATTTCAAACACACATAATATGTTTAACATAATTCGTTACATAATTGCGGAAGCGTAAAATACTTTAAAATAATCAATGCTAATTAAAATATCTAATCAAGCATGATTCAAAAACATAGTCCCGTCTTTCTTCATTCACTCGTCTACTGACAAATGACACCTGAGATATATACATGTATAGTATAAACAAAAAGCTTAGTGAATACAATATGGTTTCATGCTCACATGCACACACAAAACAGTGTTTTAGCGTATTTTAATTATTATCTTGCAAGTGAGGCCTCGGCTCGTCACTTTTTTTTGCGTATGTGGCGTATTCTATGGACGAGGACTCCAAGACCTCGGAATTGCAAGCCCTCATTTCATGTCCAACCCACCCCGTACGGTGGACGAATCTTGCCGAATCATACTAGTTGCATATCATTTATTTGCAATACTCACTCATTAATGCAAATCTCATCGTGACATGCAACATACATCTCATGCAAGTGACAACATAAATCACCTATGCATCATCGTCATTTATCACATTATACACATACTTGAATATCATATTGATAATATCAAGTCATCATAATCTTTCTCATCCACATTATATTTCATATCATGCATATACTTAAATATTATGCACATTAAATAATCAAGTTATCATCATATGCATATAAACACATCATGCAAATATCATGGATAAAATACTTTTGAAATGATCATGTATATATCCCATAAAAATCGCATAATGTACTCACCTTGAATCGTTAACGTTCGATAGGTCTTTCTCTCAAAAACAGCAACCTACATGATAATTTATACCATTCCTAAGCATCTTAAATAATCGTAGTTAAATTGATTACCATTCCTTAACAATCTTAACATGACTTTTCCTTTTATTGATCAACCCCCGATAACATCATATCTCATGTTTCACTCCAATATTTTCTTAAAATATATTAATAATGTGACGTCGTTCAATATTAATTGTTGCTCGTTCATTTTATAAAATAAGCAATATACTTCACATTTTCTTGAATAATAAATATTCTACCAAAATAACTAAACTAAATAGTTCGCAACGTAAATAATGTTGTGTGGTCAAAACGTCTCGTTTAAGATTTGCAAGTAAATAAAGGTGACAACATGTCACACACATATAAATAACGGTCGTTCCATAACTTTAAAGTTCAACATAATTAATACTCGAAATARTGTGAGAATACCAATTTTCCAAGTCTAGGGGCATTTCGGTAAATCTTAAGAAGCCGAATACCCAAGGTATAGCTTTACAAATTCCCTAATTTAGAGCATTCTTGGTATATTTCATAAGTCGAATATTAAAACTGTGCTTAAAAGTCCAATCCCAAAGCATAGGGGTATTTTGGTAATTTTATTAAGCAATACTCAAAGTATTGTTAAAATACCGATTCCCTAATTGTGAGGTTATTTTGGTAATTTCACGAGGATAATAAATAAAATAAGACATAGATACCAATTCCCAATACATAAGGTTATTTCGGTAATTTACAAGGCAAATACGTAAAGTATCGCTAAAATACCAATTTCCATATTGTAGGGTCATTTTGGTAATTTCTATAAGGATTTTATTCAAAATAGAACTTAGATACCAATCCCAAGACATAGAGTTATCTCGGTAATTTTATAAAGCAAATACGTAAAGTATTGCTAAAATACCGATTTCCATATTGTAGGGTCATTTTGGTAATTTTCATAAGGATTAGACTGAAAATAACACTTAGATACCAATTCCCAAGACATTGGGTCACTTCGGTAATTTATAAAGCAAATACGTAAAATATTGCTAAAATACTGATTTCCAAATATAGGGTTGTTTTGGTAATTTTATAAAAATAATAATATAAAAATGAAGCTCATAGACCAATCCCCAAGACATAGGGTCATTTCGGTAATTTATAAAGCAATTACGTAAAGTATCGCTAAAATACCGATTTTCCATTTATAAGGTCATTTTGGTATTTAACGAGATAAATAATTAAAATGAAGTCAAAGTAAATTCCTAAAACTACAGGTGTAAAAGTGAAACTCAGATGTATTCTGCATATTATATATATGAACGCAAATAAAACAACAGATCATGTATGTAGTTTACTGGTTAACGCTTGGAACATTGAGGTTGTGATCGCGGGTTCGAATCCCGCCCACATCGTCTTCATTTCCATTTTTAAAAGAGGGTAACCAGATGCGGGTCTTGGGTCTTGTCGACCCGGTCCGTGACCCAGCCCAAGACAGCAACAACAAGTCGGCCCACAGCCCAAAACAGCAGCCATGGCTGCTCGTTTTCGAGCTTCAAAATTGCTCGTTTCTTGACCATTTTTCTTCATTCTTTTTGTGCCAAACTTTTGGTAATATTTTTACCAACATTTTGACATAAAGAACACGAATTTTCGTCAAGAAATGAGTCTCATTTACTCATTTAAAGTTTGATTTTAAAACTAAAATTTAACAACTTAAAAACATAAAAATCGAACAACGAAAACACAAATATGAGACATGAGSCTACTGGGGTTTGATAGAGTACTTAAAAACGAAGTCATAGACATAAAAATCAAGAGATTTGGTTAAGAATCTCACCCACAATCGGTGAAAAACCGAGATTTTCGATTCCGAACTTCAAACTCATATTTCTCTCTGAAAACTCAACGATTTTTCGAGCTATTTGAACCAAAACGTTCCTAAGCCAGAGCTCTACAATTTATATGCCAAGAGTTTTGGCTTATTAGTTGAAGAAATCGGACAAATCCCGAGTTTTAGGCTGATGGGTCGTTTTCTCAAACAGTTATGTACTTTTGGCAAAACAGGTCCCTCATCTTTGAAAAAGATGACATTCGGTCCCCTCAAGTTTCTGACATTTACCATTCCTGACGTAATATCTTACATTTTTTGTCCAATAATTAAAAGAAAACAATTCTATTTTATTTTCATCTTTGTCTTTCTTTTTATTATTTATTTATTTAAGATTTCTATTTTATAATCTTTAGTTAATTACGTAAATATTTTACATTTCAAATAATTTTAATAAAAAAAATTATTTAAAGGCCCATGTAATATTATTTATATATTTAATAAAAAATGGGTTTTACAAATTCAATGAAACGCTTTGACACGAAATGAGAGGTAACAAAAACGATATTACTCTAAGCCTTCAAATAGAAAATAAACAAGCAACCAAGCAAAACGGAGGAGATAAATTGAGATTAATATACCTCCAATCAAGTCGACACCCTTCGCCTTCACTTGAGGAATTCGGAACAATAAGCGGGAATGGATTTCGTTCTGCCAAAATGGTATGGTGCAATCGGGTTTAAAACCATCAAATCACGTGTGTGTTTTGAGAATTTTTCCAAACCACAAACCAAATCGCCGACATCACAAACCGCAAACATTGTAGAACATTTATTTAAACATCGTAATCACATGGTACATTAAAAATAACATGTCTAAACACAAAATTAAATTGTAGACGTATTTTAAAGAAATTATTAAATATACAAAATTAAAGACATTATTAAATGTAGAAACTCAATTTAATACATATACTAATACAATATTAAATTATTAGTTAAAAACGTAGAAAATTAGAAATTTGGTAAATCAAAGATAAAATGTCATTAAATATTAATATTATTATGACATTACTATAGAGTAATTCAAAACCGTAAACCGAACCGTATAGCATGGTATATAAAAATACAAACTACAGGCCACACCGTGAAAGCTCTAAACCGCATGGTTTGATACGGTGCGGACAATTTATGCGAGTTTTGCAGTATTTTGAGCAACGCTAGCTTGCACTTGTTTGGGTATGCTAACATCCAAACAACTAATAATCCGATATCCTACCAATCATTTTCATACACATCATTTTTCATTTAGTATATATCCAATTCATCTACACGTACCCTTTCCCTCGTCTACAAGAACCAAAACAACACCACTTTCCGTAAGGCGGAATCAAACACCAAAATCGTGCATTTCCGTCTGTTCTTTTTACAATCGTTGATGAGATTCTCATTCTGATGTCATAGAAGAAACGCAGGACTAAAAACGAGGCTAGCGGATTATCGCTGTTGAAAGTTAAGGTATTTGATACCACACACAAAGACGACAAAAAATAGAAGGATCCAACCAACATGGGCTGCAGCCACCACAGGAAGGAAGTCATACTCGAACCCAAACTCCTCTTTAATGAACCCTTTCACGGTCATGTCACCAGCACCGGGCACCACAAAAGCCAGATTTTTCTGACCAACTTGGCTGGTTAGGAGGCCATACATGGTCCAACTCACAGGGGTTCCCCAGTAACACCATCTACTCCATACTGGTATTTGCTGCAATGTCCATGGTATGTTATGAAAATGGTTAATTACCAAAAAACCACAAATATACCCATAGTCATTCGCTAAACTTAGGGAAAATTGCAAGAAAATGCAACATACTTTAGCCATATTCCTATTTTGTGTAACGTACTTTCAATATCTTCATTTCGGTACCTCAGGTGTGACATTACAAACATTTAGGTAGCTGGTCACATCTGAGAATTCTATGAAAATGCAGGATACTTTGCTGCGATTCTAATTTTGTGCAACTTACTGTGATCTAAATGTTCAAGATATCACATCAGAGGTATCAAAATGAAGGTTTTGAAAGTATGTTATATAAAATAGGAATCAAAACCAAAGTATATTGCATCACATTCAATTCTCAGATGTAACTAGGTACCTAAATGTTTGAGATGTCTCATCTAAGATACCAAAACAAATGTGTTGAAAGTACGTTATATAAAATAGGAATAAGACCACAGTTGTTACAGTTTCATGCAATTCTCATATGTAACCAAACACCTAAACGTTTGAGATGTCACATTTGAAATACCAAAATGAAGGTTTTCAAAGTACGTTACACAGAACAGGAGTCACACTAAAGTATGTTGCATTTTCGTGCAATTCACCCCTAAATCAACTAATACACTGTTTAATCAGCGAATGACTCGATAGTACCTTTGTTTCTTTTAGTAATCAACCCTTTATTGAACCACAATAACTCACAAGAGAAAAGGAATATAGAAATGACATACCGGGAGAGGGATAATAAAACCCGAGAAGAGGTTCCAAAGGCAGAGGAAGAAGTAGATCAGAACTGCAGAAATTTGGGGACTTGGTGTCAATGACATGGTCATCATACCAAACATAGTGAAGTAGATGACACTCATCAACATATAGTAGTAGAACCATAAAAGTTTTGTGGTTGTCCATTCGAATCCAATCATTGGGTACAAAATGAAGGCGAAAATACTGGTTTGAATCGCAATATAGATCGACTCTATGGTCACCTGAACAATATGAACATTCTAATTAGTAGTTGAACTTTTATAGATACAACTGCTTAGCATATAGACCCTCCATCCAATAAAATTGCAATAGTTTCCTTTCTGGGATGTGTCGTGAAAATTGCAACATCTCCATTTTAGGAACGCCTTTTAAGTTCCGTTTATCTATTTGTCCTTTGGAAAAGACGAGTTATGGACTTTTCATGCACCTGATTATTGCAACAATGCAAAAACTGCACTATAATTTGCAAGAATGCGGTGACCCGTGACTCCGGGCTACCCGTGAAGGGGGTGGTTGCCCTGGGATTAGTCGGCTCGCATAGCGGGTTGGATATCTAGGTTAATAAAAAAAAAAGAATGAGCGATTTTGAACACAAAAAAAAAGACAGGGTCTTTTTTGGTATTTACATTTCTGGAGCTTGTTCAAAATCATTCATTCTAGCAAACTATATTGTTGCTTTTGCATTTTCTTAAGTTAGTTTACAATGAAAGGCCATGTATGATTATTTCAAAACTTAATAACTCTTGCAAAGATTTGAGTTCACAAAATTCCCTCCTAACTCTAGTTGAAGGGTATTTTTTACAATTGACAAATAGTCAACACTTGCTATAAAGGACAATTTGCTTGAAAATGCAACATACTTTGGTCCGATTCCTATTAAACAAAAAGTACTTATAGAACCTTTAATTTAGTACCTCATATGATATCTCAAATATTTAGACCAAAGTAGGTTGCACAAAATAAGATTCAAGTATGTTGCATTTTCATCCAATCTCATATGTAAAGGTTTTTGAAACAGGATAGGAATCGGACTACAAGAAGTTGCATTTTCTTGCAATTTTGCCCTACTAAAAACATGTGCATGGTCAAATGTTGCCATTTTTCATGGAAAGTAGGCTTTTCATTCGTCGACAACGGTTTTCTGGTTACCTGAGCAAGAGCATATGGTAACGACGAATACATCCCTGCAGCCCTTTCGCGGTAGAAAACTGTTCTCTCAACAGCTACAATAGGCTGTACAGCATTTTGATTGATTGCTCCAATGAAGACAACAGCAGCGTACAAAGCTCCCAACATATTTTGCAGATCTTGTTGTTTTTCTCTGGATGCACAAAATCACCGTTAATCCTTTAACAGAAGGTTTTGAGGTAAGAACCTAGAATAAAACTAATTAGACAATCCGATAGCTGAAATACAGTAAAAATCCAGTGTTAGCACAATAAGATTTCAATATAAATCAATGTCTTACATCTTTTGACCTTTGTTCAAGGAAACGGCACCAAATATAGCAGCAATGATGATGGTGGTGGCAAATCGAGTGATGTTATATTGTGGGTTCCTCCAATAAGACCAATGTTGTTTCCACAAACAAGCTTTGCACTGTACAATAAATGATTGAGCATACTTGGCACTAAAGGAGAGGTCCTTGGAACCACTGGAAGGAGTACTAAGCTCTCTAATAAGTTCTTGATTTCCCCTGCATATATCATACCAAAAACATACAAACAAAGGTATTAGATATTTAGATATATGCACTTGAACCATAATTCTGGTAGTATGGATATCTCCTAATAAACAATACAATCAAGTTTTGTATACCCTCTATCCATGAAAACTGCAAACCTAACCAAAGGTAATTGGCCCAAGCGGTATTCAGGTTATTGGTAGAGCCCATACTCCAAGGAGGTCAAGGGTTCAAACCTCACCTAAATACTGTATACCTAAAAGAAATTGCAAACCCATAGCCAAACACCATTGTTAGAAATCTTTGATGCAATTGTTTTTTGTCCACAAGATTTCCCTAGTTTGCAATAGTCAAGGCCGTTTTGGACATTTAACTCATAGTCAAACACTTCACAAAAATTATAAGTAGCAATTTCCTAGGCATAGAAACTTCTTATTCTTATAAAATAAGAGTTTTAACTTACTGATAAAGAGAGGTATTGGAATATATTTCAGCATAGTCAATCTTAAGGTGTGTTTCAGCTGCTGAAGAAGTCACCTCCAACATCCATGTAGCAGGATTATAACCATTCCTAATCTTTGGCACTCCTGAAATAGCCTATAGCAACCGACGGATATTAGAGAAATTATCACTCTAAACCTTCAAATAAGATTTAGAAATAGCACTCACTTCAAAATATTCTACTAGCTTGTGGGAATGTTGACCTAAAGGTCCAGCATATATAATTTGTCCTCCCGTCTTCATCAAAATCAACTGCAAACGAAGGGAAATAATTGACGACCAACCAGAGCCAGATTAATATCATGAAAAATAAAATATTCAAGTTTCTGAGCCACACACCTCATCAAAAGATTCAAAAATGTCTATGCTTGGTTGGTGAATTGTGCATACAACAGTTCTTCCTGTGTCCACTGTGTTTCTTACAGTACGCATAACAATGGCAGCCGCTCTAGCATCCAGACCAGACGTTGGCTCATCCAAAAAGATGATAGATGGATTTGCCACCAACTCTACAGCTATCGTCAGCCTCTTGCGTTGTTCAATTGAGAGACCATCTACTCCAGGAAGGCCAACTAAAGCATCCCTTATAGAATTAAGCTCCATCAGTTCCATCAATTCCTCTACAAACATCTGAGTTCGAATATAGCCAGTTAAACAGAAGTTAGACATTATATATCATACGGTTATAAACTTTTCTCAAAAGAAACCATTTTACATGGGGGGATTATTTTTCCCCAGCCTTGGTTTAAGGTCGATTGGTGTTTCAAAATTGGAGGGAAATTATGATCATGCCCCAATTTTCGCAAATAATCATCACTATACTTGTATGCAGAGGACTTTTCTGAAATCTGGTTCGAGGCTAGAGTGAAGATTTATTCTAGGAAAAAGGCAAAAAAGCTACAGTAATTAAGATAATATTCCATTTTTAGAATTGCAATACGTGGCAAGTGACACAACTGAGATAATTAGTACCTTCCGTGTGCTTCTGTCTACATCTGAAGATAGACGAAGCCAAGCAGAATAGAGAAGAGATTCAAAAACAGTGACGTATGGTGAATGAATATCATTTTGTTCACAATAACCACTGATACGAGCAAATGTTGCTTGGTTCTTTGGGTAACCTGAAATGCAGATGCTTCCTTCAGTACATCCGCCGGTCTTTCTTCCTGCTAACACATCCATCAAGGTTGTCTTCCCAGCACCACTGACGCCTACAAGTGCAGTCAATATCCCAGGCCTGAAAGCACCACTAACATCCTTAAGCAACTGAAGGCGACCACCTTCAACCCCTCTTGCCTTCCTTTCCTGGTGAAAGACAATAAACGTTCAGGCCGCAATATCATTTGTGACCATGATTAATCTATATACGATCCCTCTTACAACATGGACCTAAAATCATATTTATTTACTTCTGAATAAGTGATAGGTTCAAACATTTAAGGCATCAACGTTTTCTAATACTTTGTATGGCGTCAATTCCTCATTGATATTCATTTATAGAAGATATTATGTTTCTGTATTAGTTGTATTCATTATGCTTTCTGAAATCCGGTATTGAAAAACAGGAAAGAAACAAAGAACTAACAGCAGGCATATCAATGAAGTAGTTGACATGGTTGAAAGCAAGTGAAAGGGGCTGAAATGGCAAAACCATTCCTCTTCTTTCCATACGGTCATCATCACCAGCAGTCGAGCCATTTTTCCTCAAAGTTCTTTTCACCGCCATCTTGGCACCTGAAGTCATTTAAAAACATGTCACAAGAATCATAACATATTCGTCCTTATTTAACAATCTGATACATATATACATGCTCTCAATTTTCCCGACTTCTGTGTTCCTTTATAGCACAGTTAGTTATTGATAACCTAGTTAGGACAACATAATTTATAGAAAAACCACAAATGTTGTGCTCATCATTAAATGGAAAAGATAGAAGTACAACCTACATAAAGTTCACTGTGATTAAGTTCACTGTTTGAATTCTTGACGTCACTTTCATCTCTGATAACAGTTGTAGTATCACCAAGAGCTGAAATTGTTTTCCAGGCAAATAAATCATGGACTATACGGTCAAACATTAAAGTATAAAAATAAAATAAGAAAATACCAGAGTTAGGTAACGTACGATTCAAGAAATTGAGTGCAATGATAAATAGTATATTGAAGAGAAACGAGAACCCAATGAGTACCCCGATAGAAATATAGAACCAGTAATCCTTAGCAAAAAAACTTCTTGATTTGAGAAGGGCTTCCCCAACGGTTGGTGCATTAATTCGCGGGTCTATGTTGGGCTGCACTAAAAAAAATATGAGAGATGGCAGGTGGGCCTTTGAATAAATTGAAGTGAAAAACTTAAAGAGAATTATTTGTTCCAAACAGATTTATATATATGATAATATAATATCCATTTTGTCGAAAGGGATTTAAACATTTATGAAGAGCACTTACAGCACTCCATCTTTCGTCTAGAAACTCGTTTATAACTAAGGCATTCTGTGCATACATCATAGGAGAGGCATAAAATCCCCACGACATCCATGGCTCTGTATCATCTGAAATGATCACAAATATAAATTAACCTTTCATAATTTATCTCCTTCAGAATATTTATAGGTGCAAGCAATTGTGTTAAATAAGTAGCAAGCATAGAAAAAGAGACAGAACAACAAAAACGGTAACAAAAACTGAAAAATGAAAGCTTACTCTTGGCCACTATGAATCCTCCAAGGACTAAAATCAGCAACAAGGTGAAGGCACCCAAGGTGTTCGCAAGAACGTCTGTTCTTGCAACAGCAGCAATCAGTCGAAAAAGAGAGAGAGCCATTTGATGTATGGCAAAGTAGGTCAGGAACTGCTTAAAGAATCTGGACCACAAAACTTTGAATTCTTAATGGAACTGAACTGTATAAATTATAGAATAATAGCTAATGCATAAGAAATTGCACTGTTTTTATAATTGTTTTCCGAACTTAAATACTTATTTTTTCATGAGTCTTAATGGACTTGCATCAGTATTCCAAAAGGCAATAACTAAAAAAATAAACCCAAGTTGAAAAAGAGAAACGATAGCCATCATAGAAAAAGAAACAGTTGAGATAGGCCGTAGTTGATGTTCCAAACTTTGCATTCTGAGGGATTTCTTTCCAAAAGTTAAAAAAGAAGAGATTTAAAAGCATATAAAAAGGGTAGCATTAGTGACAGAATAATTTTTAATTTATGCCCAAATAAAGTTATTAAAACTCATCTTACCTGCTGGCATCTGGTGCATATCCTATAGTATAATATGTTAGAATCACCCATATTCCTGATTCCATGAAAGATAAGGGAATTTTAAGTACCCAAATGGGGAGAGCAAAAGCCCATGCAGGATATAGCAATGAATCTCGATGTTTATAGAACACTGGAAGCCTCATAACAGTCAACACAAGCTCAGCCATCCCATTAAACATCACGATAAGGAGAGCAAAGAAAAGAGACCCGAAAAACTTCCCTCCATCTTCCAAACTGCCAACATGCATTTCAGTCCTAAAGAACACGGCCATGCTTAGCAACGACATGAACGTTAACTGGAATGTTTTAAATATGTAAAGCAAAGAGTTGCGCTTTGTTAGCAACCACTCCTTATGAAAGCATGCCTTCAAAAGTTCAAGATTAGATATTCCATACTTATTTTTCACCAGGGCATCTTGATGTGTTTTGGATTTGTCATAAGGGGTACAAATATCTGTTTCCAGTTTCTGTCCGATGTGGTAAGATTTGAAAGCCTGTGAAAATTCAGGGATCTGTATATATCTGTAAGGTTGCTCTGTCCTGAACCAGTATTGTTCTTGGTCTTTCCTTGAAGTTACCTCTTGAAGAAAGTCAGCTACCCCCTTTCTTTCTGGGCACTTGAATCCCATGCACTCAAAATATTCAAGGACATTTTTAGAAGGACCTTGATATACAATTTGACCTTCTGACATCAATATGACATCATCAAACAGTTTGTATGTCTCCGGATCAGGTTGCAAAAGAGAGATAACCATGGTTAAATCCATTATATGTACCATCTGTCTTAAGGCCTTCACAATATTATAAGTGGTAGAACTGTCCAATCCAGTTGATATTTCATCCATGAAAAGAACTCTTGCTGGCCCAACTAACATCTCGCCTGTTTCAGATAGTAATAAAAATGTGGAAATTTGATTAATCTATAATGCAACTAGATTTTAATTACCTATGCCTTTCCAAATGCTTGTGAATTAAGAAAACAACAGTTTGTTTTTGGTGGTTTATACAAAAGTTTTATTTTGTGGGTATGAGATATATCCATTGCAGGTGTCTATTACAATTTGCAAGTCCTCAATGAATGAAAAACATACCAGTAGTAACACGTTTCTTTTCTCCACCAGAGATACCTCTTCTCATTTGATCACCAACCATAGTATCAGCACAGCTTTCCAAGCCAAGTATCTACTATATGACAATGTTAAGTTTCATATAATCAATATACTTGTGATGATGAGAAAACATACTTGAGCCAAAATAACAAACCTTGAGGATATAACAGGTGATCAAACTGCTTTCCTGACCTGGGACAGCCGTGGCCTTCATGAAAGCATCAATATCTGGATCTGGTTCGATTCCTACTTGGTTCTCCCTCTTCAAGATTTCTGTGAGCAAACTGTATCTTTCCCCAACACCTAAACACCGTCCTGAAAAATCTAACGTCTCTCTCACTGTCATCTCCCCATTATGAAGATTATGAGGACTTACATAAGCACAAGTTCTTTGAGGAATAAATTCAAACAGTTGGTGGCCACAATAAGAAACGTTTCCAGATACCTGTTTCAGAAAGGGCTTATGAATGTGGGTAGTCATACATTTATACCATTTGCATGTTCCCGGTAAAATGCATTTGTTAACAATAGATAAAAAATTTACTTTAAGATCATGATCAAGTTTCCCTGCTAGTGCTAGCAGTAATGTAGTTTTGCCTCCACCTGGTGGACCTAGAAGCAATGTCAACCTGCATTCAATCACAATTACCATCTACAGAACAGGAAAACAACGAAATAGAAGGAGAAATCAAGAAGAAATGATAATCATCTTAAACAAAACAAAGATACCTTGATGGTCTGATAATCCCACTAATGGACTGAAGAATCTTGACTTTCCTTTTCTTGGAAGGGACGATCCCAACCAATCCTAGTGCACTCTAATCAAAGTCCAAAAGACCAAAAAAATCAATGAAGTAAAGGAATACATTAGAGATGAGAATTTGTTGTCGACTCCTTCTTTGAGGAAGATAACATGCAATAAATGGGCTATAAAGTAGGATGCAATCAAATTGGGAGAAATCGAAGGAGAATAGTACCTCAATTAAGTTAAAGGTGGCATTAAAGAGAGAGGGAAGAGCTCTGTCACCAACATAAGCATCTCCTTCAACCCATAAATTCTCGTATCTTACTTCAACCTTTGGTATGTCAATCCCAACCCTACATAAACCACATCAAAACCCTTGTACCCAATTTTCCCATTCATCATCACAGTATTTACAGCAATCATAATATCATTTCTTTGAAAAGTTTTCCATTTAACATTATTAATTATCTAAACTCTTCATGGCCTGCGTTTGGTTCGCACAATCAACTTTTTTTGGTTGGAAAGGAAAGAAATTGAAATACATTGTAATCGAACCCTAAGGAATTTTATGAGTGATCTGAGGAACGAATGCAATATGTTAAAATGAATTTGAAATAAAGACATGATAGTCGTAATAATATCTTATTATGGTTTTCTCCGTGTGATGGTAGTGGTAGATGGCGGGTGGTGAGGATGATGGTGGCTGACCATGGTGGTCAACAATGGTAGGTTTTGGTGGTTAGTGGTGGTCGTCACGGTGTTGTAGGTGACCATGGTGTTTAGGGTCTAGGGGTTTTAGAGTTTAAGGTCGATTATCACCGTTTGGATGAATCAAAGTAAATTGTAGTTTGAGTTTGAATAACAAACATTATCATTTTAATCTTGTGTCTAAATATGAGTTGAATGAAAATTAATTGTTTAATACATCTTTTGAATGACAAAAAGACAGTTTATCAAACACTTATTTGAATAAGCGCTTACCAAATTGCATTACTTTATCGGATGAATATGGTAAAAATTAAGAATCTTATCTGGTAAGAACGAGACAAGAATCAAGAGTCTTACCTGGTAAGTGAAGATGACGACTTCTACCATGATAAGTGTTTACCGCGTAGATTGTTGCATACGATGCCATTTTGATGGACCAAAATCTTGCTCAGTAAATAAATGATTGTTCTAAATTTTAGCGATAAACACTTACCAGTAAACGGCCCCTAAGTTGTATGAATTACTTAAAATGACATGATACTAAAGTATATTTAAGCATCATTGTTTGATTATAATTTTTAAATTATGCATTTGTTTACGAGCCGTTGAGACTAAAAAATTCTACGGTAATTTACCTTCACTTCTTAGTATCAAGTTAAAATCAAACATTTTAATATAGCTTAATGAATTAAGCTAATCATCCATTAAGTTTATTAAGTTGAAATTAAACACTTCTTTGTTGATTTTCATTGAATTATAATAAAAAGAAATACCGATTAAATTCTCCACACTCTTTTTCTCAAATGATTCATCTTATAATTTTTTTACCCAAATTGATGATTCATGCTATTAATTATTTTGATTGTTGAACATAATTATATATAATTATGATTGATAATTTATTTAAGTATATAGTCAAGGATTAAATGCATGAAATAACAACCTACTTTCATAATTTTTTTTATTATAGTATTCTACTTTTATTTTTATTTATCACAACAATGTAATTTCAATTTATTTTTTTATTAAGGCATCGCAATTTAAAAAATCTACCCATTATAGCAATGGGTAACATGTTACCTTTTAAACCGGTTAACCATTTGACTTTTTTTGATTATGTGGTTTTAATAAAGTGATGTGGATGACACATTATTCTAATGACCTAATTAAAATAAAAATAAAAACATATTTCAAATTATTATTAATGATTTTCATTTTTCATTGCTATGATTTAGAAAAAAACATTTTTTTTTTTTACTTTTTCTTATTAAGTTGCATGCAAATTAAATATTCTCGAGTAAAACATTTCTTAAATGAATATGCTACATTATTTTTTAGATAGATTTTGTTTGTGAAAAATGAAACACTTCTTATTTTTATGTTGTTCAATAAAATACATATCTTTTAAAGTTCTCTCTAAAATGTTAACGGAATAAATTATGTTCTATAATTTTTTAATATTGTTATATTAATAAATAATTCATAAAAATCTAATTAATTTAATATATTTATTAAATAACATGTAAAATATCTAAATATTAAAAGTACATTGTTTAATAAGAACTAGTAGATGCTATAATAAAATAATTTTGAAAGTACAATGTTGTAATAAGAAAATCACATCACTATAGTACATGTGGACAACCTACGTGGACAATGAGGTGACATGATTTAAATCAAAATGTTACTCAATGCTATAATAGGTAAAAATTTTAAAGTACAATGTTCTAATAAAAAATAATCTGACAGTACATTGCTGTAATTAACAAAAAAAATAAAGTACAATATTATAATAAATAAAAATACAATATAATGTTTTTATCAGTTTCCAAATTTAAAGAAAATCATCACACCTGTCACCTACTATGATGATATCCTACATTATAATACTTTCAGAATCCCATGAAAACTACAGAATTTGGGTTAATTGGTATAAAAGCAAATATATATATATATATATATATATATATTTCAGTTATTAATTTGAGAATTTTAACTTCAAAAACTCTAATTTAACGTTTATGACAAACACATCTCAAATAAGAAGATTTAATATATTTTTCACGATTATTTTTTGTTCACAAAATTATTACATGTCCTCTTAATTTTGTATGTTCTCCAATCCAAAATGAAAACAAAATTTATATTATTTTCACACAATTTACCCAAAAATAAATTATGATTTAAAACTCCAAAAAAATAAGAAATGATCTCAAACAAATTTTTAATTTTTTTTTTGATATTGAAGAAAGGGAAAAGAAATATCACCTATCGATCCTTTCCTTTAATTTATGTAAAAACCTTTCGTGATCTTCATCAACAGACTCCACGACTCTATCGAGCAACTCTTGTTGTTGCATACTCCGCCTCAACTCATCTCCAAAACCACCAATCCCCACTGTGTCACCCATCGTTCTTTCTAGACCAACACCTCCTCCGCCCACAACCGCCACCATAACAAGGCGGTGGCCGGAAGTTTTTTATTTTATTTTATGGTGATTGAGAGGGTATATTTAGATGTATATGGAAGCCAAGAGAAAGAGAGATGCACCAAACTATAGGCAATAGAATCGTTATATATAATGCAACATATTGCATGCATGAGGTGAGTTAAAGGAATGGCAAAGGGAAAGGTCAAAGTAGGTAATAAACAAATATGTTTCCCCATATATATATATATATATATATATATATATATATAT